CTAACCATGAGCATACGACAGGAATCGGGAGAAAAACTGGGAAAGAATGAAGGAGGGTGACACTGTTCAAAAGGAAACGTACTCATTACCTGAAACATGTAACTGTAATCCCTCTGTATATCACCTTTACAATTCTTTTTTTTTAAGACTAGAATCTTCTAGTAATATAGCCAAGGAGTGAATTCATTCATTAAACAATACTAGTGAACTTAAATGCTTCTCCCCAGGAGTGACACAAACCAGAAGTTATGTCACACCTACTGACCTTAGTCCCAAAGCTCTGATTATAAAAACAGCCTTCTGGCTACATTCTGTATTTTTCAGGAAGACAACATGAATGACATATTCTCCACTTCCAGTCTGAGTAACAGAACACATCTCTTTTCAAGGTTCTCTGAACACTCTCAGCATCACACTTTGAAGAGAATTAAGAGCAACACTAGGATTGTAAAAGTGCTCAGGAAATCCACTCTATATATCCACCATCTAAACCACAGAGCAGCTTCTGTCTACACATCTGGCAGTAAGAGAACTAGGGAGCAAATGAAGGAAGCAACAAGAATCTGGACATGGTGGTACACACCTATAATCCCAGTGCTTGTAAAGAGGGAAAAGGATGAGTTCAAGGCCAATCTAGACTATATAGCAAGTCCCTGTTTCAAAACACAAACACATACAAACAACAAGAAAAAAGAGAAGAAAAAGAAAGCAAGCAGAGGAAATGGAAAAAATCTTCTCCTAATTGTGTCTCATAGTGATGTCTTTTTCTTACTTACAAGTTAAGGAGAAAAGATTCAATGAAAAGGGAGAATAAAACATTCGAATCAGGTGCTGGTGGTTCACGCCTGTAATCCTAGCTGCTCAGGAGGCTGAGATCTGATGATTGTGGTTTGAAGCCAGCCAGGCAAGAAAGTCTGTGAGACTATTATCTCCAATGGCTCAAGTGGTAGAGGGGTAGCCTTGGGCAAAAAAGTTCTGGCACTGCTAGATGGACATCTCTTCAACAAGGCAGGACTTCTGGGAAGCTATAGCTCTTTCTGCCTGTCCTAGCTTTGAATTAGTGGATCCGTTTGTGAGCAATCTTGGAGGGAAGAAAGAGCCAGGCACTGGTGACTTACTAATCCTAGCTACTTAGTAGGCTAAGACCTGGAGGATATGGTTCCAAGCTAGCCCAGGCAGTAAAGTCTAGTAGACTTATTTTCAATTGACTAGTAAAATGTCAGACTGGAGGTCTGTCTCAAGTGGCAGAGTACCAGTCATAAGGTAAACAGCTGAGAGCCTAAGGCACTAAATTCAAGTCCCAGTACTGCCACAAAAAGGGGAGCAGGGAGCAAGAAAGAATCAATCTCCATCTAATAGAAAAGAGCTGAACAAGGCTGGATGACACCTGTTAAAAAGCTCTAGATGAGAACCTTTTTAGTAGCACCAACATCTCAACACCAGCCTTTTCTGCAGACAAGGCTATATACTTTTGGCAAAAACAGCGTTGCCAGCCGAACATAAACCTTATTAAACTTATTTGAAACAATGAGTTGGAAGTCTTTAGTGTATTTCCACAGTAACATGTACTCCATTAAGATCATTAGTGAGCTGGGTGCTGGTGGGTCATGCCTGTAATCCTAGCTACTCAGGAGGCTGAGATCTGAGGATCGAGGTTCAAAGCCAGCCTGGGCAGGAAAGATGGTGAAACTCCTATCTCCAATAAACCACTAGAAAATCGGAAGTGGCGGTGTAGCTTAAGTGGTACAGCACTCGCCTTGAGCGGAAGAGCTGAGGGACAGCGCCAAAGCTCAGACAGAGTTCAAGCCCCATGACCAACCAAAAAAAAAAAAAAAAGGAAGATCATTAGTGCAAAATAGATAAATTTTTAAATTCTTGAAAAGTAAATTCTTTTGCGAAGTGCTGGTGGCTCAGCCTTACAATCCTATCCACTTAAGTGGCTAAGATCTGAGGATCACAATTCAAAGCCGAGTCTTATCTCCAACTAATGAGGAAAAAAAAAAAAAAAAAGCTAAAAGTGGAAGTATGGCTCAAGTGGTAGAACATCAGTCTTGAAAGAAAAGGTCAAACAAGAGCTTGAGGTCTTGAGTTCAAGCCCCAGTACTGGTACAATAATAGTAATTAAAAAAAAAAAAACTAACTTGCTTTATGATGCTCTGCAGCATTATAATGTGCAGCATTTTTAACACACAAAAAAATGAACTTAAATTTTATCTAACATGCCACACAAAAACTAACTGAAAATGGGCCACAGGTCTAAATATATAGGTTAAAATTACAAAACTGCCAAAAGACAAAAAGCAGACAATCACTGTGATATAATGTTAGGCAGATTTCTCAGCTAGGATACCAAAAATTAAAATGATAAAGTGAACCTAGTCAAATTTTTAATACTCTGTCCTTTAAATAACACCATTAACGATAATAAAAAAATGACATAGAATAAAGACCTCTCAAAACTTAACAAACTTGGGCCCTGGAAAGTGTGGTGAACCTGTGATCCAACTATCAAGGAGGCAAGAGGATCACTCGGCCCATGGTTTTGAGTGCAGCCAGGGCAACATACAGTCCCAGTCAACAAACTATCAACCGCTTTACCCCTTTAAGAAAATATAATGTAACCACTTGAGCAACTGACACAGAAAAAAAAGCATACAAACTCTTTAGCAATGACATAAAAATAGCAAATTAAGCACACAGAAGGTAATCCATAGTATGTTATATTCATCTTCTATTCAAATTAAAAGTTCAAGGTACATCAGGTCTATCCACCAGGACAGATAAATGAAAGACTGATCATACTAGCACTGTTGAGGAAAAGGAAATGCTGGAACTCTCATATTACTGAAGAAAGTAAAATGTTATACCTACTTTGGAAGGCAACTTGGCAGTTTCTTACAGTTAAATAAACATCCACTATAAGATCCATTCTACCCCTTGAAGACAAATGAAAACACAAATCCACACAGAAATGTATATGAACAGGCACAACATTTTTATTTACAATACTGAAAAACTGCAAATAATGCAAATGTTCATTAACAGATAGATGCAAAAGCAAAGTATTTGTATATAATAGGACAGAACCTAACAATAAAATGGAGTGAACTACAATAATGATGTTAAAATGATTATGCTAAATGAAAGAAGGCAGTACAAAAGAGAAAAAAGTACTTTCTATACATACAATTCCATCCTCACATATGAAAATGTGACTCAAGTCGAAAAGGCTTAAGGGGTGAAGCCCTGAGTTCAAACCCCAGTACCACCAGAAAAACAAAAAAACAAATGCAGTTTATTATACATGTAATATTTCAAGAAAGCTGTTAATAAAAGAAAGTTAAATGATATGAAATGTTACACTACAGAAGATGGGTGGCTCTGTGAGGAACAGCTTCAAAGAGGTGCAGAAGCTGGGCGTCGGTAGCTCACACCTGTAATCCTAGCTACTCAGGGAGGCTGAAATCTGAGGATCATGGTTCAAAGCCAGCTCGGGGAAGGAAAGTCCATGAGACTCTTATCTCCAATAAACCACTAGAAAACTGGAAGTGGCGCTGTGGCTCAAGCGAGGGATAGCACCCAAGCTCAGAGTTCAAGCCCCATGACCGACCAAAAAAAAAAAGAGGTGCAGAAGAGAGGCAGTAGTCCAGTTAGGAGAAAGTATGTGAGAAAAAAAGCAAGAAAGTGTGTGAGAAAAAAGCATAACCACAAAAAAAAAACCTATGTCAACCAAGCACCAGTGGCTCACACCTATAATCCTAGCCCCTCAAGAGGATGAGATCTAAGGATGGTGGTTCGAGGCCAGCCTGGGCAGTAAAGTTTGTGAAATTCTTGTTCTCTATTATCCACCAAAACAGGCAGAAGTGGAGCTGTGGTTCAAGTGGCAGAGTACCAACCTTGAGAGAGGGAGAACACACACTGTGGCAAAAAGCTAGGAGTCTAAAGTTTAAACGTGGACATATCACCCTGATTTAGGTGGGCAGGAGGCATGAACCACTTTTCCCAGGACAAGACTGGGAGCAGAAAGACCAAGTCAAAACTTTCCTTTAGGTATAATTTTGCTAAAGGCTGGAGAAAGCTAATAATACTAGATAAACAAAAGGATAGACTACTGAGGCAGAATTCTGAGTCAGAAAACAGGAGGAATTTGGTGAACACTGTTGCTCTCTCCTCACATGTTCTCAGAAGTAAAGAACCCAAGTCTTGCAAGGTGCCACCTGTGGAGAACAAGCTATGTCATATGGCTTGACCACTGCTGCAAAGGATTCACAAATCCTCTGGGCAAATAATGGTTGAAAAAAGCCAACAACAGAGAGTGTTCACTCACAAGAGAAAATCCCACTAAATCAACAACTTTGTAAGACTGACCCAAAGCAATTCCACTTTCAATTTTTTTTTCTTTCTATGCTAAGTTCCAGGGCTTGAACTCGGCGACATAAGCTCTCTCCCACTTTCTTGCTTGTGGCTGGCACTCTACCACTTGAGCCAAACCTCCAGTCTAGCATTTTACTGGTTAAACTGAGACCCTGGACTGTCTTTGAATCATAATGCTCCAAGTGTTAGCCTCCTGAGAAATTTGGATTACAGATGGGAGTGCCAGCACCAGCTTTCTCTTTCCTCTTTCAAATTTTTACAACGATTTTTCAAATCTAAAAATGTTCTCTTACAACATGTTACATGAAAAAGACTTTAAAAAGATAATCTCAGTGAAAGAAGACTAGTGGAAAAATCATCTGCAAAACAATTTTCTAGGAGTCACCTCTGTTCCAAGAGAGGTCTGACACAAAGAGTTACTTATAACAACTCACTGATTAGAATAAAGATTGGGTGATGGGAGGATCTGAAAGCAGTATCTACAGACTGATGTGAAGGAGAATTAAGATTTTAGATTACTTATCAACAGGCTAACTTTATGAACTGAGAAATCTACTCAACCCAAATCCTAATTCCATGCAACACACTTCTCAAAGATTATCTATTGCCTTCTCCTTAGCACATACCTGTCTGGAAGGCAGGATTTGCTCCAGGGTACATGTTAGGAGAATACGCAGGAGCTGCTGCTGCATAGCCCATGGGAAAGCCAGCTGGAAAACAAAACAAACAAAACAAAAACACATAGAGCACAACATGATGTCATTGTCAAAAGTAATCTTACAACTAAAGCTCCCACAAGCCCACAAATTTTACAATCATCATCTGTATAGCTCCACAGAGATGCACAGGCCCCCCACGGCAGTACATGTGCCCAACAGCTTATCCCTGCTTGTCTCCTTTTCCTCAAAATTTAGATGAGTAACATCCATAATCAGGGTTTTTAAACCTACGAATAAATGCTCACACCTTTCTACAACTGGACCAATTTAGAGTGTGAGTTAAGAAGTCTACTGTCAAAAGAATATTGGGCACCACGGCACAAACCTATAATCCCAGCACTCAGGAGTATCAAGAAAGTAAGGAAGCCAGGCGCTGGTGGCTCACGCCTATAATCCTAGCTACTCAGGAGGCTGAGATCTGAGGATCACAGTTCAAAGCCAGCTGGGGCAGGAAGGTCCGTGAGACTCTTATTTCCAATTAACCACCAGAAAGCCAGAAGTGGTGCTGAGGCTCACACAGGAGAGCACTTGCCTTAAGCTGAAGAGCTCAGGGACAGCACCCAGGCCCAGAATTCAAGCCCCATGACTGACAAAAAGAAAAAAGGAAAGCAGAAAAATAAGGAAGCCTGGGCCAGTAAGACCTTGTCTTCCTTTCCCATAAGAACTAAATCAAGGGTTAAGGTATAGCTGAGCTAACTGGTAAAGTGTATGTTTAGCATGTATAAAGCTTTGGGGTTATTTCCAACCACCAAAATAAGTAACAATACCTAACTCATAGTATTACTGCAAAGGAAGGATAAGTGGAGAAAAAATAAGGGGAAAGGGAAAGAATAAAGAGGGGAGACAGGAGGGGCCCAAGCTGCAATTAGGAAACTCTAACACTTCCAACAGTTTCATTACAGACTCTAATCACATCACTTGCTACTTAAGAGGAGAATAGGGATGCTAATAGTATTGTGGCTTCACTGGACTAAGTATGGAGGAACCAGGATTAAACTGAACTTGAATGCAATATATAGCTTATAAATAACACTGCTACCAACGAGAGGCAGTGACTCCAAAGACATAGCCGTTATCATTACATATTTCTATTTAAAAGCTAGTTTGTGGGCTGGGAAGGTGGCTCAGTGGTAGAGTGCTTGCTTTGCATGCATGAGGCCCTGGGTTCAATTCCTGAGTACCACATAAACAGAAAAAAAACCGGAAGTGGTGCTATGGCTTATGGTAGAGCCCTAGCCTTGAGCTGAAGAGTGGAGGGACAGCACCCAGGCCAGAGTTCAGGTCACACGACTGACCAAAAAAAAAAAAAAAAATTAGTTTGTGTGTGTTGTTAGGAGTTTTACCTAAAGCCTCATGTATGATGGGCAGGCAAGTGCTCTACCACTTCAGCTATCCTCCAGCCCAAAAGATAGTAATTTGGGGGGGGGGGGGGGGAAGCTATTGCTCTCAGATACCATTAAAACCTTCTACATTACTGTCAAGCCTCTTCATATTTTGAAGTTCTAATCTCCAACTTTCCCAAATTCATGGTGATTGAACCCAGGTATCAATGTCATTAAACGTCAATCTTCTTTCTGAAGATACATATACAATGAAGATGATCTTTATTAACATGTTAGGAATCCTTAGTGAAATCAAACCATAGCCATTAATTCCTCAATTTCGTACAACTTATAGAAATATAAGGCTATTGTAGTAGGAATCCTACCCTCTTAATAAGGTGGCCCCCAGCGGAGAGAGACTGTCACCTGCCTCATCCTCTTCAGAGCCTAGGGGATTCTCTGCCCCCCTCCCCCTTCTGCCTAACCCCTGGACATTAGAGACCCTTCTTTATACTTGGCACAGAGCCAATGAAGCAAACCAGGCTCACTCATCTTAACTGCCACAGCTATACGTGGAAATTCTTCTCTATCCCCTCACCTATACAATAAGGTGACTGAAAACTGCAGGCTTCAAAACTGTTAAACCCAAGAAAGGGGGAGGGGGACTCCTGCAGACATACAGACCAACATATTGAAGGCAATATCATGTCCCCTTAAAGAGTCCCGATAGTAACAGTCTGAAAACTGAGGGCTGCCTAGGGTTAGGTAAAGACTAGGGACAGGAGAGAAGGGTCTGGATTGACTTCCAAAAGCAAAGTTTTGTGGGTAGTCTTATTTTTGTTGTTTGTGGTTCTGAATACAGAAATCCATGTCTCGCAAATGCTTAGCAAGTACTCCATCACTGAGGTACATATACCCTCAACCCCTGAGTGGATTTGAAAGTTCTAAATAAAGCTATTTTCTCTAATCACCCCACCCCTGGAAGCCCTGAATAGCTATCCCACTTTCACAAGCTTCTACAAGCAAGCCCCAAAGTTTCTGAAGAAACAGGGATCACCAATCCTATGGCTCATAATAACCTCTTCAAGTGACCAGCTCGTAACTGTATGAATCCAATGCTTCCAAGGTGTTTTCTTTGCTCTTGAAACTAACACAGAACCGAAACCTGTTACTCTGTTTCCCTCCTAGAGTCTCAATTCTCCAGTTGCCCTCTTATTAGTTAGAAAACAAGTAAGCAGTTCTCACATAAACTAAATTTGCTAATTTAGAACAGTAGTGTTCTGTGGACTGAGCTTTAAAGGTCCCAATGTAAGACCATGTAAGCTGTCGTGCATAGTTGTGGTGGACAATGTCACAATTTTTTTTAGTGGTTTCATTCTTACAGTCTGAAACACCATTAAACTAGATCATATTCTGTAAGTCTCTGAAATAACTCCCACAGAATCCAAATTTCCTCATCTTTTCCCATAAATACAGAGAATTGTCTACTTTGTAGTACTGTTAGAGTTTCCTTGGGCCTTGTCATCTCAACTTTCTAACAATCATCTGATATGCTCTAAAAAATTAACCAGAAAACATATACAGCAGGCATTTTAAACAGTCTAGTAAACAATGATCATCAGATGCTACCCATGTCGCCCACTCTCCTGGGGTGTGTCTATTGCTTCCATCCTCTCCTCTCTCCCTCTGCCACCACCCTCACTCAGATAAACAAAGTTCACTTCACTTTTTCTACTCCAAGATTCTACCTGGACTACATAAAACCCCCGAGACAGCCTACGCCACCCACCAGAATATTGGATTAGCTGGTCTCAGGGTTCCAAAGTAGTGTTTCTGCCTGTTCACAACCATCATCATCTTCAGGGTATACTTTAGTACTCTTGGAGCTTGCAGAGACTGGAAAGCCCTGTCTCCACAGTAAGGGTCAGAATGATCCTGCACTTTAACCACTTTTCTGGGTCTAGTCACTTCTATAAAATCACTTCAGAAAAGCAAAACTAAGTAAAAAGACCAATTAGAGGGATATCTATAAATTACTTAGGATATAACCCCTCTGTACAGTATTTTCACAATTAAAAATAAATAAATAAATAAATTACTTAGGATAAAGAGATAATAACACTTTAAACTAGAACAAAAAGCCAGTAAAGAAATAAAGCACCAACAGACAGAGACAGCTAGCACTACAAACTGTAACTATAGTGACACCATTTCTCACACCAAACTAGCCAAGCCTGCCAAGCTAGGTATCATGCTTGCTGACATGATAGAAAGAAAGAAAGAAAGAAAGGGAGAAAGAAAGAAAGAAAGAAAGAAAGAAAGAAAGAAAGAAAGAAAGAAAGAAAGAAAGAAAGAAAGAAAGAAAGAAAGAGGAGAAAGAAAGAAAGAAAGAAAGAAAGAAAGAAAGAAAGAAAGAAAGAAAGAAAGAAAGAAAGAAAGAAAGAAAGAAAGAAAGAAAGAAAGAAAGAAAGAAAGAAAGAAAGAAAGAAAGAAAGAAAGAAAGAAAGTGAAGTCCCTATTGAAGTAATCTTGGCAATCTTTTTAAAAACTGTATGAACATAGCTGGGTGCTGGTGGCTCATGCCTATAATCCTAGCTATTTGAGGAGGTTGAGATTTGAGGCTCACAGTTCAAAGTCTGTAGGACTTTAAAAAAAATAAATTATAGCCGGGCGCTGGTAGCTCACGCCTGTAATCCTAGCTACTCAGGAGGCTGAGATCTGAGGATTGCAGTTCAAAGCCAGCCCGGGCAGGAAAGACCGTGAGACTCCTATCTCCAATAAACCACCAGAAAACCGGAAGTGGCGCTGTAGCTTAAGTGGTAGAGCGCTCGCCTTGAGCTGAAGAGCTGAGGGACAGCACCCAGGCCCAGAGTTCAAGCCCCACGACCGACAAAAAAAAAAAATATATTAAGTGAACTAAGCCAGACCCCAAAAAACATAGGTCCCATGATTTCCCTTATTTGCAATAACTAGTATATGTCTGAGACAAGCAGAAAAGGTGAGATAAGATGATGTTAGGCAAAATGAACCCCAAGATAAGGACACAAGTGGTTTTTGCTTTCTTGCTATTGTTTCTAACATATTTATAAGATGATTCTTTTGTTGCTTCGTATGTCCCTCCCCCATGGTATAACTCCTGTTTTCACTGTACTTGATGTAGGTATAATTTGGGGGGGGGGAAGGGAAAAAACAAATGGTTTAAATACGGATACAAGTGGACCCATTGCAACAATGAGATGTACAAGACGCTGTGTGGAAAAACGGACTTTACAACTTTGGTGAAGGGGGGGGGAAGGACTGTAGTCGTGGAGACGGGAGGGCAGGGATGGTAGGAGGCAACAATGCTTGATAAGAAATGTACTCATTATCTTGTCCATGTAATTGTAACCCCTCTGTACAGTATTTTCACAATAAAAAATAAATATTAAAAAAAAAGAAATGTACTCATTACTTTGCTCTTGTAATTGTAACCCCTCTGTATAGTATCTTCACAATAAAAAAATTATTTAAACAAAAACAAATTTAAATATTATTTCTAGTCCTATAAATTTCTGGAAGAAGTTATTTTGCACAGTTTATCATTTTATAGATTTTAAGTATTTTTATTTCTAGTTCCATAAATTTCTGGAAGACTAGAGATTAACAAGTATATGTATAAATGGGGCTAGG